ATTAGCATGAGAGAATGGGTTTTATGGCCCATTAAAGCTAATTAGGTTAGTTATGGCCCAATAAGGCTTTTTGGAGTAGTTTATTCCATTTTAGGCCCAATATGGCCCAAAATGTTAAATCTCATGAAGGTGGGTTGAATTAGAGCCTATTTAAGGGTTGCAAGTCCAAAATAGTCAAATTGGAAGCTTATTGGCCCATTAGGCCCAATAAGGAAATCCTAGTCCATAACGGAGTTAAACCAGGATTTTTAGGGTTTCCAATCTTTCGTTGACCATTTGAAGTGTTAGTATAGAGTTTTTGATGTAATTTTGTTGTCATTGAATAAACATCATGCATGCTTCCAGATTTTGTTTACAATTTTGTCCTTTATAATGATTACAAAAGCATAGAATTTCCTGGTTGTGACACTTTGTAACCTGTCTAGTTTACCCCACACATCACCATCCAACTTTTAATATAGACACAAGAAGAGACTGATTCACTGATATGCTTATGGATTTAAACCAAGAACTTTGTGACCTGTCTAGTTTATCCCACACATCACTATCCAGCTTTGGGTTCTTACTTAGTGCGAAACCGTTGTGTGTTGTAAAACCTTTTCATGACCCTCTAGAAGATAAAACACTAATGTCACGCTAGGTTTCCATCACTAAATGATTCTATGTGTTATAAAACCTCATTCTCAATAACGATATAGTATCATACCTTACATGGATCTATCGTTATTGACAATACCTTTTATCGTTAACGACTTCGTTATTATCCTATATACTTGAGAATTATGAGCACAAATGTCACGTTAGGTTTCCATCACTAAATGATTCTATTGTGCTTTTAGACCTATGCCTCTCATGGTAGTTCCAACCAATCTCTCATCATAAGTTTTGATTATACCACTTATTGTTTAACATAATTGTGTCGAAGACCGACATGTCTTGACTTCCTAGTATACACAACATTATATATTATAGACTGTGTGACCTCACTGTCATAATATATGAGAATATAAGACCTTGGAATATCCTATAGATGAATATCCAAAAGTAGATCTTTAATCCACTACGCCTCTTTTCCTACTGATGCCAAGGGAATAAGCTCAACCTCCACCATCGAGCGAGCTACACATGTATGTTTATATCTCTTCCCCAAGAAATAACCCCTCCAGCTAGAGTATAAATCTAACCACTCGTGGATTTCGAATCACCTGTGTAAGCTTCAATGTGAAACCCATGATTTAATGAAAATTATCGTTCTTTCCAACAACTATGGACGAATCAATAAAGACAAAGTCAATACTCATAAACTTGGAAGAACTAGAGTTTCATGCTTGCAAATCGTAAAGAGAGAAAAGGAACATGAGATCTTCATTTTTAGGGTGATAAATACGTCTCCGGGAGAGTTGTATTTATAGTTGCAAAATCCCTCGGAGACTCCAAAAAAACATGGGCTGATGACGACGACAACCCTACCACGAATTGCCACGTGTCACATAGTTTGACTAGGTCAAACCCTAGTTGGAGCCCCTCGCTCTCCAAGAAAAATGTTTTCTGGAGGCTTCTAAATGCTTTCACACGCTTATCACGAAACCAACGCTAACCGGGTCGATCCCGTTAGAAATTGGGGTATAGTAAGGCTTGGAATTCTGAGAATTGTGTAAAACACTTTCAGATTAAAACATTTGGGTGGTACTCCCAATATTCTTTAATCGGATAAGACTCAGAGAGACAAAAATTTAGAATGTTTTGATGATAGTTTCGTATGTACTAGAAATGAGACCAAAACCGACTTTATGATCTTTGTCTGAAAACTGTCATATGACAGTTTCAAACTGTCATAAAACCATAAAAATTGACATAAAAACGAAAGTTTGGATAAGGGTCAAACAATGGTCAATTATCTGAAAATCCGATTTTCTGATGCATTTTTAATATAGCAACATATGACAGCTCGACCCCAGCCAGGGGCTTTGCCCCTTGGACCCCGCCAGGGGCTGCCGCCCCTTGGATCCCGCTCCCAGGGGCGCTGCCCCGGACCCCCGTTCATTTAGGGGCTTCGCCCCTAAATGACAATGTACTTTGAAAACTTGATCAAACTTAAACAAGTGTGTACTCCATACATTCCTTACTTGTTTAATATTTATCAAGATCACTTTTTGTTAACAAAGTAATCCCATTATAGTTAAATAATATTGATGATAACAAATCACCAACAGATCCAACATGAACCTTGCTAAAACTAAAATCGCTTTAGCTCCCACTGACCGATGAAGTGCAAAGTGTGCATAAATCACGCCATTTCGCAAACCTCGCGTCTTGCGTCCTCAGCTCAACGAGGCGCTAGTAGGGTCTTGGTAAATCCATTAACATTCACTAAAGCCTTTAAAGACTTAAGCAAATAAACCGATATTAAAGGTTAGACCAATTTTTTTTTAAACGGACAAATATAATCTACTCATAATTTCATTTATGTCTCAGACAAGACTTGAACCCCGACATAAAAAAAAAACAACACTTGATATTGCTACAAATTAAACTTTTATTAATTCAGTAAGTGATTTATGTTAAAAATAAATGTTTCAAATCAAACTATCAAAAAATCATAATCATAAACATATGTAACCAGAACAATAAGGCTACTGTATGTCTAAATTTAACTGTTGCAATTCACAATGCATGAATAAGATTGTGACCTCACTTAATTAATCTTTTTTCTTATATTGACATATAAAGTTCACATAAATCGAATTATAAAAGATCAAATCCACATATTATAAATAAAACTCACATGTTATATATATTAAAAGAAGAAGAGAGGATAGAAAAGGTTCCATTTAATCCAACATGCCACAACAAATTATATAATCAACAAACCATACAAAAGGCCAAACCCAACCCACCACGCCTACATAAAAAGACCAAAAGGTCCTCACACCCTAAAAGCGTTTACATATATTAATCCCAAAAAAAACAAAGAAAAAAAAAGGCGCGCTCACTCTCCCTTTGGAGAGGGGCTGCAAAATACCCTCAAACAGACACTAAATTACAAAACAACCACTTGACTTAACAAATAACAACACTATATCTTATATTTTATATATTATATAATTAAATACCACAGAAAGCCAAACGGATACCCACTCCCAACGGTTACTTCTTTCCCTTCTCCATCACCAAAAAACACCAACTGATATAACGGCTCCATTTGATGTGATAGGTCTTAGCTTAAAATTACCCTTTTGACCTTGCGATGGAATAGGTGATTTGGGTATTTTTTGCTTTCTTCTTATTTAGGAATGTCAAAATTAAAAGGGGTAAAAAGTAAAAACATATATATTTTTCGGAACCAAACTTTTGAACCTTTCGACGAATGTTAATACTGTTAACAGTTAAGGGGAAAAGTTAAGACGGGACGTATAAGTGGCTTTGACTGCCCAATTTCCGGGAATCACATCCCTTGCTGACAGAGTCCTTTTGGTGGACAGGGTGGTGAGTTTGACGGAAAATGGTCCTCTGAGAGGTCCTCGAACTATCACCCAGTTCGCTCCCCAAACATGGCTCATTTCTAGCCACTCTGTTGACCTGGCCTGTTTAACATAGACAAACGTTAGATCTGTATTTTGGAACATGTATTTTGTTCGTAATTAAACCGTTATAGATTTTTTTTAACGTTTATAAAAACCATTTATTACAGATAAAGTTATCTGGTTTCGATTATATGTCAAGAAAAAAATATGGCAAACACAACATATGTTTATTATTTTATAGATTTGGATAGTGAATTATTATTAGAAAATAATAGCTAAATAGATAAAATACTGAAATAACTCCATTTTTGTATAATTTAACCTTTTTGTAAGGAAAGTTATTCATATAATTTTTTTTTTGTCATACACAATAATATATATGTTTCAAAGAATCGTATAATCTGTATATTATACAACCCTTTAAATATATATATGATAAAAAAAATTGTGCGTATACGGATCAACTTCCTTTTTGTAAATTAGGAAAATATTTGCATACGGTATAAAATGATAATATTTTAATAAAAATACTTTACTTTTTTACTTGTCTATTTAAGTTAGAAAAATATAGTATTTTAGTGACTAA